AGCTTCCTCAGGAAGCCTTGGCCCCTTTGCCTTGGCTTCTTTAAGAAGCCTTGACCCCTTTGTTTAGCTTCTCTTGGAAGCTTAGGCCTTTGCCTTGTCTATATAAGAGGGTCTATCTCCTCCTTTGAAGGGGTTGAGCAAAAATCAGAGATACACATCTGATATACCACACTCTCTCCCTCTATATCTCCCCCTCTCTTTTCATTTGTGTGGGTTAGAGTGTTCAAAAGGGTGTTTTGTTCTTAGTTTTGCACTAAAACACCTAATGTTACACCATACCTTGGTTATTGAGGTGTTGAGAGGTTGTACTTGGAGCTTTTAGGCTGGTTTTGACCTAGGGAAGCTGCTGGAGCATTGTTCTTGAAAGGGGTCTTCAAGGGTAAGAACTTTGCCCTTTATTCCCCATTTTTACATAGGCTTTTACCCGTCCTTGCATCTATTTTTGAGCTTAACTTATAACTAATAAAAGTTCTGATTTTGAGTGCTTAAAATAGTTGTTTAAGGTCTCTTTGAGGTTTGGGGTTGTTTGACCCCTCTTAGGCCTTGTTTGGCCCCCATTTTGTGCTATTTTGGTGAGCTCCAGGACCACCTTGTTTGGGCCTCCTCACCACTGAAATCCAGAGGGATTTCAGTGGTGGGGATGGTGCTTTAAGGTCCTAAGAAGGAGAGGGCCATCCCCTCTCCTTGTTACCTTCAATAGTTGTCATTTTAGCCTCTTGTGTGAGCACCATTGTTGAGTTCATGTTGGCCATGTCTTAGCTAGTATTTGTGCTTATTTTGCCATGATATAACACTGTTTTAAGTTGGTTTAGACACACCATGCTTGCCTTGCATACTTGTCTTGTAATGCCAATATTTGCCTTAACATGTACTTAGCATCTAGACCACTATACTTACTTGTTTTGGCTTAGCTTTGTGAAGCTTTTATGCATGTTTTGATGTGCTTGAGGTTTGATTTTGGTTATTTTGGCCATCCATGACATCCTTTGTATAGCCACCTTGCATTTTGGCTTGTTAGCCTTAGGTGTGTGAGTGTTGAGCATGCATTACTTGGCTTGTTTCAGTGGTTTGGCACTACTTATAGCATCATTTCAGTCCTTGTGGCATGCTTGTATGCTTGCATTTGATGCTTCTTTAATGCTTTAAAAGGTTGGTGTTTCATGCTCCATGTTTGGACTCTTTTGCATGCCTTTAGACTTAGGCCATTTAGATGCCATCTAGGTGTGCCTTTCACCTTGTTTTGGTCTGCCTTGGGGTGGTTTTAAGTCCCCATGGCCCTTTGGAACTTGCTTCATATAGCTATAGTTTAAGCCCCTTGGCTTACCTTGAGTTTTGGACATAGTTGCATGCCTTGTTTGTCTTGTTTAGTTGGTTTGGCACCATCCTTAGCATGATTTTCAGAGCTTAGTATGCTTGCCATATGCCCATGTTTGTCCCTTTTAAGTGTGCTTAAAAGTTGCTTCTTTATGCTTAAGTCTTGAACTATGTATCTATGCATGCTTGTATGTACATTGCCTTCATGTGCTTAGCATATTGGCCACTGTTTTGGACCTAGTAGAGAGCTGTCCATCTTAGTGTAAGTCTCTCCTTTGCATGTTGTTGCATGCTCACCGTGTATGTTATTGCATACTTGGCCTATCGCATGTGTTGCATGCTTGAATCACATTGCATTTAGTATGTTGTCTTCCTTTCGTCTTGGTTGCTTAACATGTTACGTGTCTTGCATGTTTGCATGTCCGCATTGCATATTGTATGCTTGTTAGCTTGCACATGTTGTTATATGCCTTGCATGTTTGTTTGTTTAGGTTGTGTCCTTAGTACACATTACTTGCCCTCATGCTCGTATTGCATACTTAGCTCACATGCTTAGGTTGCATTTGGCATGCATGCCTTGCCCCTTGAATCACCATGATTGAGGTTGGTTTCCTTATGTGTTTGTGTGCATTACATTTGACATTAAAATGCACAACTTGGCCTCTTTGGCCATCACGCATTGAAATGCGCGATTGGTGGCCCGAGGGTCGAGGACCATCCTCCTTTGAGTCATGAACATGATAAGGAGGGTGTTGGTGCAACATCTGTTTGAAATGTATTGCCATGCCTTATCTTGTCCTCTGCTGCTGTCAAAACAGGATTCTGCAGGCATACATGGCCGACCGACCACATTCAATGCCGACCGGCCATGCATTGGTGGCCGAAAGCTCAATAGATGGTCGGTGACCACTTCTCCATGGCCGGTGGTGTTCCCCATTGGCCGGTGACCTTCCACAATGTTCAGAGAGTGTTCCTCGGGACTTGTGCAATTTTCAGAAGAGCAGAGCAGGGTAAACAGAGGCAGCTTGTGCATGGTGACGGATTTCCGAGCAAACCCAAGCACGCATGCATTAGACCCTCTTCTCGAGGCTGTTTTATTGCTTCTTAGCTTAGTTAATTTGCTTAACTAGTTAAGTGGTCTGTAATAATCAATTAGCTTATAGGTTAATTAATTTGTATTATTCTTTTAGTCCCTCCGAGCGAGGGCAAATGTGTAATAAGTGTGGATGTGTGTGTGCATGTCTTCCAACCCCCATTTCTTTCTCCCTTTTACTTACCTGCTTTTGATGGTTAGTACTAGGGCATATTTAATTTAGCATACCTTATGCTATGCATGCGTGCATTCATTCATCAGTATTGCATGCACCGGGCTCGGCGCATCATGCTAACTACATAGTATTTCAAATATAACTTGAATACATGTTACTTGTTGCATTTCACATGCCATCCTAGGATTAGCCGAGCCTATTCTAGATTACATTTTGCCTGTGATGCATTAGCCATTTAACATGGACTTGGATCATACGTTTGATTGCTAACATGTTCTTTGTTTTGGCTCAGAGTACACTGTAAGTATTTATACTTTAGCATCTCACATGAGTGTGAATGTTAACATGACAGCATGCTTACCATGTGGCTATGTGTATATGTGATATTACTGCCTGAATGCCTGTAGGTGAAGGTTGGATTGCTTGAGTTGGAACGACTCGTTGAAATCCGTATTTTAGCCTACTTGCGAGTAGCAAATTTCAAACCATTTTCCGAACAAACAGATATGCAATGCTTTGTTCCAAATTAGGCGATCTAGTCTATACTTTTGTGTTGTGCACATCACATAGTAAGATTAGCTAATTAATCAGAATAAGAACACATAACGTTTTCAAAACTAGATATCATGGTTAGTAGAGGCCGATCTTTGGATCGGGCGAGCGGGGGTGCTCATAGCTGACCTTTCCCAATCGTACCCAAGTTCCTGAGCCGAGGCAACTTTGGTGATGACGGACACGTGGCCTTAGGCAAACAAGTCAGGGTTTCCTAAATTCCCCTATAAAAAATATTTAGATGGCGACTCTGTATCTGGCAAAGCAGTCCATGTTTGGCACTTCTTTACAAAAAATCTGTTTTCAAAAACGATTTGTCGGATTTGGACTCTTTGGTTTAGATTTTGAACCGTGACAATTCGAGTCCGAACTGTAGCGTAAGGCCCACGGGCGCGTCTACAGGATAATCAAAGATGTTTATTTGCAAACGGTCTATTTTAAGGATAAAGTCGACATACAACTTATTTGTGTTGGTTAACTTGTATATTGTTTGAAATGTAATGGCCTTTTTTTAATGAATAATGTTGTCACTTTCTTAGTTTTAAAGTTCTGTTCAGTTTAGTTTTTAGAATCTATTTTCAAAAAAAATTTCTAAGAACTAAAAATTATATTGGTGAAAAAAAATTAAAAGCACATCATTTTTATATAATTTTTTTTAAAGGGTAGAAATAATTTTTTAGATTTAAATTTTTTTATATATATATTTTCGTTAAATAAGTTTCTATTTTTTTTAAAAGTCAAACATGGCGACAAGTTAGATGTCATTATTAAACCAATCCATTAAATCAAAAAAATCCAAAACTAAAAACTTTTCATATATTAAACACATTGATTACATTATGACCATCCAAAAATAGTTGTTAACAACAAAAACAACCATCTATTACATGATAACTATCCAAAAATATCAACAAAATCAATCACTCATTACATGATCATCATTCAAATGCATACTAAAAATTAGTTTGGTAAAAAAATGAAAATATAAAAATGTAAAAGAATTATTATTTTTATATAGTTTTATCTTTGGTACATAGAAATTTTAAAAATTCAAAAATAACTTTTTGACATTTATTGTTGTCAAAAGTTTATATTTTATCAAATTGATAAATTCGCCCTTGAAATGATACATTTTTTGTTTGCAAAAGAAACGGCGTCTTCAATTGCTCTTATTTGGAACAAGATTTAAATATATCATATTTGAAACATCAGGGACCAAACTAACACAAATCCCAAATTACAGGAACCATTAGTATAGTTCACCCTAAAAAATACATAATGCTTGCTAGAAAACATTGTTTGTGGTCTTTTTATGAAACAAAATACATATATATAGTAGTATTGCCATAAAGTTAGAGATTCTCTATACCCAAAATCTCATGATCCCTATACTTAATGAACAATCAATCATATGATAAGGCAAGAATCTCAAATATAAAAAAACTCGAGACACAATTATGCGATTGAGAGTGCTTTTAATACATGGGAATGGAAATTTTGTGTAAGAGATCTATGCCATTCTATAAGTAGAAGCTAGAGTACACAACTCATCTAAAAATATGTCATGAAAGCATTATACATAAATAATTCAATAAATTTAGAAACGTACCCCAAAAGAAATAACTTGTGAAGCAATGCCTAATCAACTTCGATTTCTGTGTCCCTTCCTTTTCTCCATTCTCAGCTTGTGCTGTTTCCTTCCAAAATTCTCGATGAACCATTCGTGATACCTCGTGGTTATTGTGTGCCCAATAACCATCCCGACTACTATCCCACTCACATATCCCATGCATATGAAAATCCAATCAAATTTACTTGGGAACGCTGAATCATTATCTTGTTCCGAGTTCGATGGTGGCGGTGCCTCTAACTTTCCACATTTCCTTGGTAAAAGGTCTCCGCACAATTCTGAATTCCCCTCATAGGAATTGTTCTCGAATGTGTTGAATTGCTTCCCATGTGGAATGGGTCCAGTGAGATGGTTATTTGAGACATTAAAAATTCAAGGAAAGTAAGAAGTGCTAGTTGCTGAGGGATTTCTCCCGAGACCTCGTTTTGAGAAAGGTCCAAAGATTCAAGGTTTGTTAGGTTCCCTAAGCATGATGGGATTCCACCATTAAGGTCATTGTTGGAAAGGTTGAGCAATTGAATCCCCTTAAGGTTTCCAATAAATTCTGGAATCTCCCCTTCAAATTTGTTGCTTGAGAGATCAATGGCAGTGAAGATATTCGGGATCTTCTGATATTTTGTATTTACACCTTTATTTGTAATGTTCAGTGTGTACAAATAACTATTAGCCCAATCGACGTCATTGTTCCTGCAAACTTCAATGAATGTGAACATATATTTCATCTTGTTGACATCAAAAAATTTCATTGCATTCCAATTTTGAAAGTATTTTGATGGCAAATCACCGGTAAAACCATTATGAGAGAGGTCAATGATGTGCAAATTTGGTAACTCTAACTTAATTTTGGGATTCCCTATTGCACCATAGAATTTGTTGGATCGCAAGATGAGAACGTGTAACTTTGTAAGATCTCCTAACCATAAGGGGAATGTATCGTCAATCAGATTATTTGAGAGATCAAGAATCTCAAGCTCGGTACAACTTGCCAATGATCTTGGCACCTTCCCCTGTAATTTATTACCACTGAAGTCAATCATCTTCAATTTGTTTCCTTTATTGTATGAGTGAGGAATGGGACCCTGAAAGTTGTTGCCTTTGAGATTTAGAACTTTCAAAGAATCACTGAAGTTACTCAAACATGGAAGAATAGTTCCAGTCAAGTTGTTGTTAGACAAATCAAGAAAATGAAGAGAACTCAATCGACAGATCAATGGTGGAAGTTCTCCGGTCAATCCGTTATATGCGACTCTATAAGAGCCAGTGGATAATGGTGGAATTGGTAGTGGTCCTTGTAGCATGTTATAAGAAAGGTCTAAGTCGAGTAAATTATACCATGGAAGGATATCTGGATGTTGCTCAAAGCTTGTTAGAAAGTTATTCCGAAGACGTATCAACGATAGAGTTTCTACACTTATATTCAACATCCATGCCGGAATTTCGCCATGAATTTTGTTTTCAGCAAGAGATAAAACTTCTAGTTTGTCTTGGAAGCGTAAGAAATTTGGGAATTCCCTCAAGTTGCATGAATTTAACTCTAATTAACTCTAACACCTTTAATTTTTTAAGACTGTTATTTGAAGTTTTTTTGGTTAGAACTGTTAATTTGTTACCAGACAAATAGAGATCGGTAAGATTTTTGAGCATCAGAAAAATTTCAAGTTCCAAGCCACCGAGGATATTGAAAGAAAGATCTAGAATTTCAAGATTCTTTAGCTCAGAGAATGACCTTGGGGTTGGGCTTCGCAATTGATTAATTGAAAGATCTAGCCAAATTAGATGGGTTAGGTTGGTTATATGAGATGGTATTTCACCACTTAGGTGATTGGAGGACAGGCCTAAATAAGTAAGTTGAGTTAGGTTTGAAAGAACTGATGGGATCGAACCGTATAGATTGAGGTCACTAAGGTCCAAGTCAGTGAGTTCAGTTAGCTTACCAAGCAATTGTAGGGTCCCTAACTTACTTATTTAGGCCTGTCCTCCAATCACCTAAGTGGTGAAATACCATCTCATATAACCAACCTAACCCATCTAATTTGGCTAGATCTTTCAATTAATCAATTGCGAAGCCCAACCCCAAGGTCATTCTCTGAGCTAAAGAATCTTGAAATTCTAGATCTTTCTTTCAATAACCTCGGTGGCTTGGAACTTGAAATTTTTCTGATGCTCAAAAATCTTACCGATCTCTATTTGTCTGGTAACAAATTAACAGTTCTAACCAAAAAAACTTCAAATAACAGTCTTAAAAAATTAAAGGTGTTAGAGTTAATTAGAGTTAAATTCATGCAACTTGAGGGAATTCCCAAATTTCTTGCGCTTCCAAGACAAACTAGAAGTTTTATCTCTTGCTGAAAACAAAATTCATGGCGAAATTCCGGCATGGATGTTGAATATAAGTGTAGAAACTCTATCGTTGATACGTCTTCGGAATAACTTTCTAACAGGCTTTGAGCAACATCCAGATATCCTTCCATGGTATAATTTACTCGACTTAGACCTTTCTTATAACATGCTACAAGGACCACTGCCAATTCCACCATTATCCACTGGCTCTTATAGAGTCGCATATAACGGATTGACCGGAGAACTTCCACCATTGATCTGTCGATTGAGTTCTCTTCATTTTCTTGATTTGTCTAACAACAACTTGACTGGAACTATTCTTCCATGTTTGAGTAACTTCAGTGATTCTTTGAAAGTTCTAAATCTCAAAGGCAACAACTTTCAGGGTCCCATTCCTCACTCATACAATAAAGGAAACAAATTGAAGATGATTGACTTCAGTGGTAATAAATTACAGGGGAAGGTGCCAAGATCATTGGCAAGTTGTACCGAGCTTGAGATTCTTGATCTCTCAAATAATCTGATTGACGATACATTCCCCTTATGGTTAGGAGATCTTACAAAGTTACACGTTCTCATCTTGCGATCCAACAAATTCTATGGTGCAATAGGGAATCCCAAAAATTAAGTTACCAAATTTGCACATCATTGACCTCTCTCATAATGGTTTTACCGGTGATTTGCCATCAAAATACTTTCAAAATTGGAATGCAATGAAATTTTTTGATGTCAACAAGATGAAATATATGTTCACATTCATTGAAGTTTGCAGGAACAATGACGTCGATTGGGCTAATAGTTATTTGTACCCTTTTATATAGACAAGGCAAAGGCCTAAGCTTCCAAGAGAAGCTAAACAAAGGGGTCAAGGCTTCTTAAAAAAGCCAAGGCAAAGGGGCAAAGGCTTTCTGAGGAAGCTGAGACAGGGGTCCAAGCTTCTTGAGGAAGCTAAGATAAAGGACCAAGCTTCCTTAAGAAGTTAGACCAAAAGGGTGCAAAGGGTACAATATGGAGGACAGGTCCGTGCACTCCAGCTGGCACAGCTGGCATGCACAATGCCTGAAAAAGGCAAAAAGGAGGTATCGGCCAGATAAATAGACTATCGGCCAAATAAATGGCCGGCCGACAATACAAAGAGCCGATACAACTAACAGAAGTGCCGACCGACCAAACATTTGGCCGATGGAAACAAAACAATGGCCGGTGGCCTCAAGCCATGGCCGGTGAGGTGTAGTGATGGCCAGCAGGCCATTCCCTGCCCCTTAAAAGCAAAATACAAGTATTTGGTGCAAAACCAAACACAAAATAGGCAAGTCGAGAGGTCTTGAGACAAGGCGCGTGGCCGAGACCTCCAAGAGCTCAAGACGAACCCGAACGTGGATGATCACCGAGTGTTCAAACGGTGACGTCCAAGTCTTAAGGATGGTCAAAAATGGGGTGTCTACAGTTGCCCCTCTTTGACAGAACTCGAAAGTCATAACAATGACGGGAGTGAGTGTCAAAGCCCAGAGACGACCCATTTTTGACAAGGCCGAAGACTTAGAAAAACATGAAAGACAATAAAGATATGCGCCCGGAGGCAAGGGCAAAATGCAAGACAATGCGCAAAGCCGAGCATAACTTATGATCATGCAAAGAAAGTTGTAACGAAGCACATACATATAATAAATGCAACAGTTTAAGCAATCTGACATAAATCCAACTACATTATAATGCAGAAAGAATGTAAGAGAATTATGTAATTCTCGCTACGTTTCACGCGGGGAATACAATACCTGTGCGGTTTGTCTGGTCGCTCCAGCTTCAAATGAACCGTACATACAATATCGTGCCTGTAAGAGAAAGAAAACTTAACAGGTACAATATTGGTAGCAGTACGCATAACAATGCAATTGAAAGTGCGTGACAACGCAAGTGAAGAAGTGCATGACAATGCAACCTATGTGTGACAACGCATAACAATGTGGAATGGATGCAAAATGATAATGCAATATATACAAAACCATATATAAACAATGCAAATGATATGCAATGCAATTGAAACATGATCAAACCATAAGCAGTTCAAAACCACACAAATATAATAAAGATGATGGAGATGCAAAGTTCGTCTACCATAGAAAAGGTGCCGACACCCTCAAACCACAATACTAGCAGTGGAATAGGCGCGTACACATGCAGAACTATGAGTGTGTAGACGGAACACAAGATTGGGTAGGATGATATAAGTGAGGCATGCTCTGCT